TGGGTGGAAGGAAGGCTACACACAGTGGATCAACCAAAAAGTTGAAGTTGCAAAAGTCTGAGATTGAAAAGCACAATTTTTGTTTGTGTGTTTTTGTGTGTTATATACATGTGTACATGTGACAAAGACTAGGAGACTCTACCAGAGTGCTAGTGATGTTGGTATGAGCACACCCATGTGGGGGCCGGAAGTGGATCTCAATTATCTCCCTCAGTTACTTTCCACCTTCCTTTTTGAGACAGGGTCTCTCGTTGAACCCAAAACTCACCGATTCATCAGTCTGGCCAAACAGTGAGCTCCAGGAATCCACTGGTCTCTATTTCCCCAGGACTGGGATTATGGACATACCCCACCACGCTCAGCTTTTATGTGGGTGCTGGAGATCCAAGGTCAGGCCCTTAGCTTGGGTGGCAGGCACTTTACTGACTGAGCCATATCCAAAGCCCTGGCTTCTGCTTTTAATGTTGATTTAACCTAGTGCCAATTTTGTGCCACCCCTACCAACTTACGCCATAGGACCTTCATAGGAAGACTTCACCAGCCCTCCAAGTATCACAGCACACTTAGCCTTGGCCTGCATCCCTCCTCTGTTCACATGTCTCTCCTTCTGTATGTTAATCTTCTCCAGTCTTCTACATAGACCTTGAATGGTATATCCCTTCCCAGTCCCTTCAATGATTGCTTCATTCCATGGACTCCAACAGCTGGTTGAACATATGAGACCAAGAGCCTCCAGTGTCTTGTTACCAGCGCCAATGATCATCATTTCTCTAGTGCTTTCTCTGTCTGGAAACTGACCTGGGTGCTAGAGATATAAATATGACAAAGACTAGGAGACTCTACCAGAGTGCTAGTGATGTACACAGTCAGACAAGTTACTTATAAGTAAGTTACAATATTTATAATGTTAAAACCAAAGGTAGTGTTTTTCTATACATAGCCATGTTACATAGAAAATTATACCCAGAAAGTTTTTAACACAATGTCTTTTCATATAGTAGAGATTGTCTTGGAACTTTTTAAGTAGCTCAGGGTGGCACTGAACTCCCAATTCTCCTGCCTCTGCACCCCCAAAACTTTGAAATGACAGGTCTATGCTACCAACCTCCAGGTGGCATCTGAACACCTTATAGGATATAACTAAAATGCCCAAAGTTCATTCATTCTCTGCCTGGGCTTGGTAGAGTTCTGGCCATCACCAAGAAAAAAGGAATCCGTGCCCATCATCTCGAAATCTGACACAGTCATGACATCAACCTGATGGTATTTTCTGGGGAAAGCTAGTGGTACCAAAGGAAAACCATCAAGCATGAACTTACCAAGTTCTTATTAAAGTGGAAGTCAAGAAATATGGTATGTCTTCCTTTAAGACCAACTTGAAATACTGCATTGTGTACCATAGCTGTAAGTGTCTAGCTATACCACTGTTCAGACACACCAACATACACATGCCATGTCTGCACCTTGGAACTCTTGGAAGCTCCACATAGCATTGCTAACCGTGTTCGTAAATCCTAATACGTTCCTAACCGTGGCTCAGGGCAGATGCAGCTAAGTGCCTATTACCAGTCTACTCCTTGCAGCCTTCTCTAGCAGCACCGGGATTCTACTTGAGGATTTTCCTTCTTCCACAGTACCACCTGGTGAAGTTGCCAAGCAAGATGGTCCCATTTTCTTTGTCAATGGCTGATTTAGAAAGGATACTAGAGAGCTTGCTTCTATGTGCTCTCATTGCTATGGGAGGACATAGCAAGAAAGGGAGCCACCTGCAAGCAAGAAGCAGAGGCTCCCTAGGGATTTTACAGGCCTCTGCCGGTCTACGGAATCACGGGCATTGTTAACTGGTCATTGTTTACCCCACTGTACCTTTTCTAACAGCTGGAGCTCTAAGGCATTCCTACTTGTAGTCTTTTACTCGGAAACTCTAGAGATTTATTGTATTTTTATCGTGTGTGTGTGTGTGTGTGTGTGTGTGTGTGTGTGTGTGTGTGTGTGTGTGCCACAAAGGCCAAAAAGGACATCAGAGCCCCTGGAGCTGGAGTTAGAAGCTGTTGTGAGCTGCCCATCACATGTGCTGAAAACCAAACTCCAGTCCTCTGTAAGAGCAGCAAGTGCCCTTGACTGCTGAGCCATCTTTCTAGCTCCTTACCCGATAATTCTAAGAAACACTAATCAATATTCATCCCAGGCAACTTCTCTGTGTCAAGATGTCAAGGGAAAAAATGATACCCACAAACCCAAGGTGAGTACAGTCCCAGGGTAGACCCTTCCAGGCCACCAAGATCAGCTTCAACTGTTGGCAGGAAAGGTCTAGTCTTTCATTTCCTTTTTTAAGCTTTCCAGGCAAGCTGGGAGAGTCAGGACCTCTAAGGAGGATTGTAACCAGGGATTTATGGAGCTAGGCTGAATAACACAGGGTCCTTGTAACTTAACTGTCTGTTTATGCAGGACTGTGCCTAATTGTATGTGTGTGGTTTTATGAGGGGACTGATTTCACAACTTGTGGAGGCCTGCAGAGGCTTCCTACTACTTACTCAAGGTCAGAGAATCTGAGCTTGCTTTACCCAGCAGGGCTGCATAATGGGATGATTTGGCCACCAGTGTGGTTACCAGGTGTCTTGAAGGGTCTACACTTGGCTGTACATTGTCCTTTGATCTTGAAAGGGGGAGGTCTTTTGCCTTGCCCCTTGGCATTGTATAAAAAGCCCTTTGGAATAATAAATCTTGAGGCGACTGGGTATTGACCCAAGCTCCCCCTGCCCAGCTATCCCATGTCTCTGTCTTTATTATTGTCTCTTTCTATTGTTTACTCATTCCTCTCTTCTCCCCGCAAGAACCCTTCAACAGGTCGGAGCTGGACTCTGACAGACTCTGACAACTGTTATTAGATTCGCAAAAGGGTCTCTTTCCCATTCTGGCCCCCCTAAAGCAAGGAATCACTGCAGAAGATGCAGTATTAGTTACCCTTGTATATCTGTGACCAGCACACCTGACAGACATAACTTAGAGGGAGGGATGGGCCATTTTACCTCACAGTTCACCACAGTTGGGTAGAGAGAGGGAGACAGAAACGAGATGAGGGCAGGATAGAGTTATCAAGACCATACCTCCAGTGAACCATATCTCCCAGCTAAGTCCCACCTCCTAGAGCTTCCAGGATTTCCTAAAAACAGCACCACCAGTGGGGACCCTAGGAGTCTGTGGGGAACATTTTCCAGTTAAACCATGACATGCCCGACATGTTTAGAAAATGAAGACATATATAAGTGGAATATCTTAGTCTTAGCACTCATGTATTTCCATAAATGAGAACCCTATGGGGTGCATCACAGTGGGTCAAACTCCCCTGTTGCAACAGTACAAGCCCACAGGAGTTTCACCCCAATCCACACTGGATTGCACCAGCTGCCCCTTTGCAGTTGCTGTAGAAAGACCATTTGCTTCCTAGGTAACAAGGCAAAGCGAACACAGAGGGAAGCGTGTTTGCAGGATTCTAGGAAAAAGGATGCCATATACTGCAGGAAGCTTCTCCAACCACAGTGTCTTCTAACCTTTGGCAGGAGAGGTCTGTTTAGTAGAGAACACCCACTTCTTTGGGGGATGATCAGGAGAGGAACTTCATTTCCTAGCCATTATAGAAACTGGTCAGGCTAAACCTGATATAAAAGCCTATCACATAATAAATATTTGCACATACAACTGCAATTAAAACCGGCTTTAGAGTAGACTTAAGCAAAACAAAACCTAATGATAAGGCACAGAATGGATGATCCGGAAATGGCTTTAAGGAGGGCATGGGCTAGAAGACATTTCCTGGATCAAGGAGGTAAGACCTTGAACAGGAAATGAGGAATTCAAACCATGTGTTTTGATTTCCATTCATTTTTCTTCCTAATTGTGATTTCTTTTGGAATTGTACGAGTATTTTCACAGTGTTTTTTAACCCACCCCCTCGAAAGCCACACTGGCGCATGAGAAGATTCTCTGTTACAAGTTAATAGGGAAATGAAAATGAAAACCAAAATAGACCCCACCTATTAGGAGGGATATTTTATTTTTGTAGTTAATTAATTAATTGGTTGTTGTTTTTGAGACAGGGTCTCTCTCCACAGCTGTGGCTGTCTTGAAACTCATTATGTAGATTACACTGGCTTCAGACTCACAGAGGTCGGCCTGCCTCTGCCTTCCAAGTGCGGGGACTAAAGGGGGGTGCCACCATGCCTGGATATGCTCTTTTTACTTTTTAAGGATGTATTTTTATTTTTAAGCATTGATGTGAATGCCAAACATGATTGCTGGGAATGTTTCCTTAAAGTGGTCTGTTGCTACATACACTGCTCGTGGCCTCTCAAAAGCTAGACAAAGCATTATCATACGATATAAACATCAGTTCCATTTTTAGACTCACACCTTCCCCACAACTGAAAGCGAGGGTTTGAACAATGTACACAGTTGTACATTCATGGCCATAGCAGCACTCTGCACAAAAGCCCAAGGGTGGTAGAAACTCTCAGTTGTCCCCAGAGGGGTGAGAAGATAAACTCAGGGTGGTACAGACAGTTGGGTATCAGCCCCGAAAGCAAGAAAATTCTGACATGTGCTTCAACACGGATGAACTCGGAGAACATCATAAACAAAATGAGTTGATCAAGAAAGAAACACTGCCATTTGATCCCACTTCTACGAGGCCCCAAGAGCAGTCAGGGTCACAAAGACAGAGGGCAGAATGGAGGTTACCAGGAGCTGAGGAGGTGCATAGGGAGCAGCTGTTTGTTAGGACAGAGTCTCAGTTTGGGATGATGAAAACATTCTGGAAACAGACAGTGGTGGAACTGCTGAGGATGAACTTAATACACCAGAATGATAAAAATATGTGTTATACATATCTTGCCACAGTCAAATGTAGCATGAATCTTAAAGAGTCTTATTAATAAAAACAACACAATATCACCACAGTCAAACAAGAGGAGAGGGGAGCCATGGTGGCCGGCAATACTTACAAGATATAGGCGATCACCCCAATGGACCAGCAGTCAACAGCTTTGCTGTATGGTTTCTGAGCAAGAACTTCAGGGGCTGTGGACAGATAAAGAAGATTCACAATCCTGATGATTTAAATGCCTGAGACCAAAGACATTTACTTGGACTTTTCATTTTCTGATTTTTGTTTTTCCTTGTTGGATATTCAGATTTTGAGCCACTGTGAGTCTAGAAACTTAGCAGGGGGCTGAGGAACCCAAACTATCAGTGGTAGAATGCATGCTCAGCCTACACAAAGTCCTACGTTCAAGTTCAACCCCAAGTTCCAAAGATATTTAAATAGATAATAAATGACCCCATTTGTCAGCTTTTCTAAGTTAAAAAAAAACAAAGAGGTGTGTGTGTGTGTGTGTGTGTGTGTGTGTGTGTGTGTGTGTGTGTGTAGAAATAATCATCCATCAAATGATCAATAAATATTCTGTTCTAAGTATCATAGCTTAGTCAACAATATTGTGAGAAGGTAACACTCAGTTGGGGTATGGAGTATGAGCTGTACCCCCAAAGTGACTAAGGACAGCATCCCTGGTTCATGTGGGGTTTGGTGAGGTGCCATGAGGACAAGGGCGAATAGCCCTTCCTGTGCCTTCATGGAGTGTACAGCACAGCGGAGAGGGCTAGCCTGGAGCTCTCTTGTTTTCCCTGAGTTGGGAGTGATTTGCCTACTGGCACTCTCACCTGCTCCTCTGCTGAGTAGGGGGACTGCTCCTTAATCTCCCTTCATCACTGAGCCAGGAGTCCAGCAAGAGCCATTGCTTCCAGGGCTTGGGCTCGGTTTGAACCAGCCCTGGTGCCCGTGTCCCTGGCCTTGTGGCCACAGCTCAAGATCAGGTCTCCACCTGGTGTCTGTGACCCACAGTGTCTGGTGCAGGGGGCACTCAATGTGGATTAAGTACACGTGAGATGATCCATCTCCCTGACAAGTGAAACCTCCATTACCTTAAACATATCCATGCTCGAGGCCTCTTTAGTTAACGAATTCCAGAACAATCACAAAGGGAGACAAAGTGAAAATAGAATCATTGATAAAGTCCTTGCTATGCCTAGAATTGTGTGTCCTCGGGGATTTGGATGGCTTACTAACCCCAACAACCTTGGGAAAACACTGCTATCATACATTCATTATCCCCAAGTTATAGAGGAAGACACAAGGGCACTGAGAGGTTGAGCCAAGCGGTCAAAGCCATCCAGCCAGGAAGTGATCTCTTCATCCACTTCTGCTCCGAAGGGCCCTAATCTCACTAAGTGCTGCTCTCAGCTGGGGCTTGTGCCAGCAGTTCCTAATGTTCACTCTTCTCATCTTCTCAACAGACACTGCCTGAGAAATGCACCTGAGCTCGGAGAGCAAGGGCAGGTAACGGAGCCTCCTCGGAGAAGTGGTTTTTCCCAAGTCACAGTCAGACATGGAAAAGCAGGCCAGTCTGCGCCTCATTCTGGATCTTTCTGTTAGACCATACTGTTTTATTAAAGTGAGAACTTCTTCAGTCTGTAAGAAAAGTCCAGAAAATCTGCCATGGAAATCTGTCCTTCCATTCTCTTGAAGATAAATGACTCCCTGAGCAAGAATAGGAAGGTGTAGGCTGAAAAGGTAGCTCAGTTGGTAAAGAGCTTATCTTGCAAGCAGGAGGGCCAGAGTACGACCCCTAGGACTCAAATAAAAAGTGTGGAAAAGCCGGGCGGTGGTGGCGCACGCCTTTAATCCCAGCACTTGGGAGGCAGAACCAGGCAGATATCTGTGAGTTTGAGGCCAGCCTGGTCTACAGAGTGAGATCCAGGAAAGGCACCAAAACTACACAGAGAAACCCTGTCTTGAAAAACAAAACAAAACAAAACAAAGTGTGGAAGCACACTTGTGATCCCAGTGCTGGGGAGGGAGAGGAAGATGAATATTTGGAGTATGCTGGCTGGCCAGCCTAGCCTACTTGGTGAGATCTAGGCCAGTGAGAGAGACACTGCCTCAAATAACACAGGGTGGACAGTGGTTGAGTAATGATAGACAAAGCTGTTCTCTGACCTCCATACAAAGGTACATACATGTGCACATACACCCACCCACATACATGCATCTGCACATACACAAATGTGCACATACATACACATATACACCCATTCATTTAAAAGAATAGGAAGCCATACAAACTCCTGTTGAGTATCTGCCCACAAGAGAGAAATACAGCCTACGGATGGACCCAAATCTCATTTTACATGTCAGTCCTAAATTCCATCAAGTCTTTTATCAGACTTTTTTTCAACAGAATGGAAGAAATGCATTTGCATGCCTGTCTTTTCTTTGCTATGGTTGCCCTCAGTGCAGTAGCAAAAAGGTTTACAGACCGGTGAAGCAGGGTGGTCACCATCTTGAGAAACAGCCCTTGGAGAGTTAGAAGCCAGGTGCATAAATGGGTCCTTCCTGACTCACTGCTAAGAGGATGTTTCTCAGCCTCCTCTGTTATGAGAAGTGACAAAGGGAGCCACTTAACCACAGTCAATGTCCTTTTGATTTAGGAGGCTGACACTCTGGTCCGAGTGGACACATTGGCACAGACGGTGCTCAGTGACTGCACCTGCAGGAGCACTCTGGGGCCTGATGACAAGTTCATCACAGGCAGAGGAGGCACCCAGAACACCTGATGACATTCTCACTACACACAGAGTGACCCAGATGTCAGGAGTAGAGTCAAGCCGGTGGGTAGAGGCTCTGGACCACTTCAAGGATCCCAGGGCTCATTAGCAAGAAGGCCAGTCTTCCAGCCTGGTCCTACCAGCCTGCCAACCCAGGTGTCAAATGGTACAGAAGCACAGTGGAATTAGTGCCAGTCTGACAGCACAAACTCACTGTCACTGCTGCAGGTGCCCAATGTGACAGACACGGAGAAGGAAGCTGTCCAGATCTAATGACAGCTGCTTACATAGTATATAAGCAAAGACTGGGTCCATGCCCTGGGCTAAGATGTACAGAGACCACTGCCCTGCAAAGCTGTATCTCTCTGAGGATGAACTCAGTTCATCTCGGTTCCCTTTTCCTCCCTCTCATTGACTGTGGGAGGAGGAGGGTATCTCTAAAAGAATAAAACCCATTTCCAAGTCCTCAATGCTTAGAGACAAGAGCGTGCTGGTACTAGCCACACATTTCACCTTGAGCAGGAACTCCACTAACATTCTGGGCAGCTGGGGAAGCCACTGCAGAGAATTCAAAGGAAGCAGCTGATTCACATTACTTGAAATGTTGAGGATGTGTGTGTGTGTGTGTGTGTGTGTGTGTGTGTGTGTGTCCACATTCGGAGGCCAGAGAACAGCCTTGGCTCGCCTTTCTCAAGTACCATACCATATATTTTTTTTTTTTTTTGAGACAAGGCTTTCCATGGCCTGGGACTCAGCTAGTAGGCTAGGTTAGCTGGCCAGTGAGGCCCCAGGGATCCACCAGGGATCCCTGTTTCCCCAGTGCTGATATTACAATCCCATCGCATTCAGTTTCTAAAACAAAACAAAAAACCAAAACCCAAAAGCCATAGGTTCTGGGGATTGAACTCAGGACCTCATGCTCACAAAGCCAGGCACTTTACCGCCTGAGCCATCTCTCCAGGCCTATGATACTCAGGTTCTTGAAGCCATGCACTTGCTACAATCATTTTTATATTGTGGGATTCTACCTATACAATGAAGTTTGTAACATCAATCATATGGCTAGAAAATGTTTCTGGTTTGCATTTGGAGCATGAATGTTAGGGGAAAGTTCTAACTTATCAATAGGCAAATATCAGGATAAAAAAAATTGTGGACGGAAATGTCTGCATTCATGCCAAACTTCTGTTGCTCATTTTGATGTCTTACTGATATAAGTAATTTTTAAAAAACTTGTAGGGGACAAGCCATTTATCTTCTGATGAAGTTCTTAACTGCATTTGGAATCAAAGACAGGAGGTGAAATAGGACATAAAATGCCAGGCAAAGTGGCTTATGACTGAGGGAAGATGAGGATTGTTGTGGGTTCGAGGCCAGCCTGAGCCACAGTGAGCTCCTGGCCAGCACAGGCTACAGAGTGAAACTTGGTTTTCAAAGCATAAAACCCTAAAACTGAAAACAAAACAAAATAACAAATATTTAAAAACATGAAGCAAAGTGCCAGGCAGTGGTGGTGCACACCTTTAATCCCAGCACTCGGGAGGCAGAGCCAGGCGAATCTCTGTGACTTTGAGGCCAGCCTGCCTGGTCTACAGAGCGAGATCTAAGACAGGCACCAAAACTACACAGAGAAACACGCTGTCTCTAACCACCACCACCCCCCCCCCAAAAAAAAAAAGAAAAGAAAAGAAAACCACAAAGTGAAGTGCATTGCAAACAGCATCCTCAGTAATTCCAAGTATTTAGAAACACTATGACATGAGTCATACATACACCAAGAGCCTGAGTTCTGATTTCACCTGTAATGTGACGGCTGGAACCGCGGGGACCAGGGAACATTCTTTGGAAAAGCTCACCCCAATGGCTTTCGATGCTTTCCTTTCATCCCACAGACATGCTTAGAAAACAAAATCTCAGGGACAGGGATACAGCCCGGAGGTAGAACACTTGCTTAGAATGTGTGAGACCAGGCAGGAACCGGAAGGCAGGGTTATAAAGTAAAGGAAGCCGAATCCTGCTCTGGGTTTTCCTCTCGGGTTTGCTCCAACACAAATTAAAGCCCGGACTGGAGGTGGCCCCCTTGTCCGAGCTCTGCGTTCACCGTGGCTCTCACTGATGCAGACCTGCAGAAGCAGGTTAAGCACATGACGGCTTCCATCAAACAAGACACCAATGAGAAAGCAGAAGAACAGATGCGAAGGCAGAAGAAGAATTAAACATTGAGAAAAGGTTATCTCGTGCAAACCCAAAGACTTAAGATTATGGACTATTATGAGAAGAAAGAAGAGCAGATTGAGCAGCAAAAGAAAATTCCAATGTCTAATCTGATGACTCAAGCAGGGCTCAAAGTCCTCAGAGGAAGATCTCACTTATCTGCTCAATAAGGCAAAGCAACAAGGTGGTAAAAGATACAACCA